GAAGACGCATCTTACAATGGAAAGTTGCGAACTGTTGAGCAATAAGCCTGACCTTGTTCAGGTGAAATAATCTCTCTCATCGAGAAACTAACACACTCATAATATGAACTACTGATGGGGTACCGTAACACAGATATTTCAATTCTAAGTCATTTTCTGCACATGTATCGTGCTGATCAATTAAAACTTTAACAGAACTTATGTGTCTGTTTTCGTGATGGATGAATAGAGCTCGTCGAGTTACATAAGAAAAGTATATTCCGAAAGTTTATAAGCAATTTCACGTAAAATTTCAAGATATCTCTGTTACGGTACCCCATCAGTAGCTCATATTATGAGTGTGTTAGTTTCTTGCTGAGAGAGATTATTTCACCTGAACAAAATCAAGATTATTGCTCAATAGTTCGCGACCTTCCATTGTTAATTCATATTCACACCCATTCTCATCTTCACCCTTGCTTTTAGGGATGCAACAAGTCCAAAGCCTTGAACTTGGCATGTAAGATTTGATACCCATACGATTTCGATTTCGATTTGGGACCTAATCTTAGATTTTTCTATGGATCTAGTAAGATAACATGGAAACAGGCCTTGGGGTTTGGACTTGGATTTGTTTTAAGACAGAAATAATATAAATAGTTTGCGATTCGACAGTTGTAACCAAAACTGAAACTTTTTTATGTGAGTTTGCTTTAGAAAACTCATACAGGACCCAAATCCTAAAGCTATTTTCAAGATTTGTTGCAATCCCACTTCATTTTTTGCAAGACAATGCAACTGGCAGTTAGTATTTTAGTCGCAGCATAAGGCAGCGGATTAGCTAGCTATTTATCAAAAAGTTGATGGATATTCTAGGCGCTAGGTCAAAGGGGAGAGCGAACGAAAATTTGCACTTGAAACTTGACTTACGCTCTTCTGTCGTGGTCGTCGTCGTTGTGAATGTAACTAAAGTTTTTTCGTGTGTTGTTGCGTCGCTTGGTATTGATAGAGATGTTGTTGTTAAAATCGGAACAGATATAGTTGGACCTACAGGCAGAACTGTAGTTCTCTTAGACGATGTAGTTGTTGAAGCTGTAACCATTTTAGTGGTAGTTAACGAGATTATGTACTCACCCGTGGGTTTTGTAAAAGTATAGATTTCTTTACTTTTTTTCACATAGATAACCACACCTACGACAATACCAATAACTAGAATTATGCACAAAGCCAATAGCAACCATCGAATTCGACGGCACTGTAATAAACAAGTGCAATGCCAAAATGAACAACATTTACAATCATGGCACAGACTCAATCCTTTATTATTATTGATGGTAGATTTTGTAGAATGTCGACTGCCTCGTGTAAAATTGGTATTTGTTTTATCTTCAGTTAGTTTGAATTGCTGAATGTTGTCAGGATTGACTGAGCATCGTAACTGTAAAAAAAAGAGATCAATAAGAGTGTACAGCCCAGGTGAATAAATCTAATAACTAGGTATGTGACGGATCGAACAAATTGACGTGTTCAGTACGAACAAAATCGCGGGGATGAGCGTTCGTTCGGAACATACACTGGCTAGGATCAAAGCTGGGCAAAATACTTGAAGTACTTGTACTCAAGCATCAGACACTCTAAAGTATGGAGTCAGAACAAAGGTTAACAGTTCGAATACATATATCAAAGTAATAGTAATCAAAGTTTTCGTATCGAGTGGACTTTTCATTGTGCTCGTACTCATATTCGAGAAAGTCTGTACTTGCTCAGTTCTAGCTAAGATCTGCTATGACCAGCTAGAACGTTGTTCGATTCGCTACATACTTAATCATGATCATCAATAGAAATCATGGGCTATCCTCAGTCACACTACTAATGGTATCGAACTAACCTGATGGTTTTTGATTGAATTCGAATTCTGCAAGTCGCCACAATAAACACATTCAACACGTGCAACATCAGTTTTCGATCGTGGTACAGCTAGAACAAAAACCATGCGAATCATATTTTGATGCTTTTATCCACAAATATAACAAACTTACTATTTCTAATAGATTCTCGAGGAGCACTTGGCCGTCTACTCTCTCGATTCTGTCTTTTGAAATTCTCTACAGCAGTTTTAATTGCACGGTTTGGTGTTAAGCGAAGTACACTGAGTTGTTGTCTCGTAAATGGACTTGTTCCATGTTGTTGTATCCACTGAATAATTGCACTTCGCTCATATGTCTGACCATCTTCGGCTAAAACTGGGTCAATGAACAGTTCCAATGTAATGGGACATCGTAAATGCTGACAGTCACTCATTTCACATTCTATTTTACTTTTTTTTATCATATTTATATGCATGAAATTCGTCGAAAGTTCCTTATCTATCTTGGAAAAAACATTCTTCTTTATCTCTTTAGTCATTATTTTGTTATTTGCGATGATACTACCTACTTTAAAAAAAGTGAGAAGATAACTTAGGTGTTGTGAAACACTGATGAGTAATGAGAAAACTGTTGGAGTAAAAACACAAAAGAACGTAACTAATACTCGGACAGAAATTAACAATTAGGAATAGCGCCGGCTTTGTACATATGCTAACTGCAGGTGAGGGTGTGAGATAAACTGTCATGACCATCTTGAGGGTGTGGGTGTGGACAAATAAAAGGCACAGACCTACACTGATACTAACACCCACTCACACCCACATCCACCTTCAAGATGGTTTTAGTCGAATTTCAGTCTATTGGATAGTATTCACCAAAAAACTGCAGCATGGCATTTACAGCTGAAAATTTGGCCACTATAGGCCTATTTATTGAGGGTGTGGATGTGGTTGTGAATGATAGAGGAGAAGAGATACTCAGACCCACATACTGAAATATAGTCTTATTATCTAGCTAAGCAATATTTTGTATGTTCTTATTCGTATAAATTAATTCTCATTTTCACTGCAAAACTGATACATTGTCTTCTGACTATTTTTCCTTACAATATTAAGAGAAAGTGTTTTGTGTCATAAAAAACAACTGGCTTGCTATTTTATAGTCCATTTCGCCTGTCAAAATATAAAATATGCTAAGCATTTATAAAAAATTTAAAAAGAAAACTTCAATACAGAAAAATTTAGCATGAGGATATCCTTTCTCAAAAAAATAAGAGTCACTGTTAAATAGCTTTCAATATTATATTATATCTCATGAGTCATCGATCATATACTAGACTTTATGGTAGAAAAAGCTGAAAATATTAGAAATTGAAGTATGATAAAATTAAAAATATGTAGATGTCTGCTCTGATAATCATTTAAATTAATTGTCATTATCAGTTTTTATCTGACATTGTTCTTTCATAATATCATCATTATCTTTATGCCCATTTATATCAAAACGAAAGAATATTTCATAGAGGGTACATTCTTGAAACACACTATATAATATACACCGCTTAATGATTTCTATATCTCATGTAGAAGCTGGCATTTGAGATTGAAAAGGGTTAAAATATTATATTTCATAAATAAAACTGTAGTTGTCTATTGTGATTGAAAACTTAAATTCATCAAAAACTTCATATAATAGCAATGATGACATCAGATATCGATTCACTTTCAAAAGTTCGTAAAGATCTTCAGTACTTTACTAAATGA